AGGGGCTAGGGAAGGGTAAGTGGAAGGAGGTGAGGGAGGAATGGGGTATGTGCCCCTGATGGGGAGGACTGGGCTTGCTCTGCGGGCTTTTGGGGTGGAAGCTCTCCTGCAGCCCCCCAATTGCCCCCTCTGCCCAGATGGCAGCCTGCGGCAAGTGCAGCCGGTCTGATGGCCGAGTGCTGTGATGTGCCCAGTGTGGGTACTCCGGGCAATCCAAGCCAGGACTGCTTTGCAAGCGGGGCACCCCTGAGAACTGTCTGTCCAGGATGGGGGTCGGGACCCTTTAAGCACAGCCCTTGGCTAGCCTGAGGCAGCATCTCCACGCTCTAAGTCCTCCTCTGATGCCCTGCCGGCACTGCTTCCGGCCATCCTTAAGCCTGGTTCAGGGTCCACTTAATGTGGACATGCTAGTTCAAATTAGCAAAATGCTAATTCGAACAAGTTTTTTAGTCTGGATCCGTTAGTTCGAATTAGCTTAGTTCGAATTAACTAATTCGAACTAAGTTAGTTCGAATTAACGTTGTAGTGTAGACGTACCCTCAGACTTTAGCGCCCTGGTGTTCCAGGGAGCATTAGGACAGCCTCAGATACAATGCCTCAGAATAAATGCTGATACAAACCCCCTTTTCAGATCCACTCCTCTCCCCAATGAGGGCACTAGCTTAAAGGCATGTTCAGTCCTTATCACTGACCTGGCCATTTTATTTATTATCTGAATTAATTCAAGCTATAAAATACCTAGTTAGGATAAAGATTTGTTCCAGTATTAAATGTGAATGCCATCTTCCTTGCGTTCATTATTATAAAAGCTAAGCAAAGTATGTAGTACTGTACTTAGTAATACCCACCTCTAGCAGATGTGTATCAAGTCCCTTTATCTTGGGCCCTGGAACTGGTGGTAAGATGCAGGCTACCATACTGAAAAAAAAAGCAGAGAACACACAAAGTGAAGGCACGCAGCTTATTGTCCCTATTGCTATCCTATTTCTGCACCACTTCAAACATTTGTAATGTATTTGATACTTTTCTTATTAAACCTCAGCCCACTGAATGACCCCTTCCCAGGACAGCCTTCCTTACTCAGCCAGGTATATCTCAGTAAACATTTTAATTACCTCACATAAAAGGGAATAGTACAAACACTGTGGTGAAGTTAATTATTTATAAACTGGAAGTAAAAATAAAAAACAAACCAACCTCCCAAAACCAGAAGACAACAGCTGTAATAATTGTCAGAATCACTTATTTCTATTATTACAAATATTTGTAATAGTACAGCACCTAATGTGATTTTGGTGCTGACGTGCATCTCTCTCAAGTGTGAAACATAGTAGCTGTTAATACCATACAGCAATGCTACACAATACTGTGGTGATGCAACTGTGCAAAAGTGTACTACTCACCTGGCATATTTAAAATTCACACCAATTGTAATAAGTAATTTTGGCACCAACCTTAAACTTCAAATAGTGTGTCCTATGCCTCAGGCTAGTGAGATATTTCAGTCCCTGGACTGGGAATTATCCTGAGGGGTTCTCCACACTTAGGGTATGTCTAGATTACATGGCTCCGTCGACAGAGCCATGTAGATGAGTGTACTCGGCAAAGGGAAATGAAGCGGCGATTTAAATAACTGCTGCTTCATTTACATCAAAATGGCCACCGCGCTGTGCCGATCAGCTGATTGTCGGCACAGTGCGGTAGTCTAGACAGGGATCAGTCGATCCCAGAACCCTTTATCGTCAGGTCCTGTAAACCTCATTTCCCTTTGCCGAGTACACTCATCTACATGGCTCCGTCGAATGTAGTCTAGACTCATCCTTACAGAACAACTGTAGCACTTAGTGAAGCTACTATCACTGCAGATTGGAGACCTATACTTCTTCCACTGGGGTAGGTACTCCATGTCCCTGAGAGGTGGGAGCTGTGCTGATGGGCGAAGCTCTCCCATTGACATAGCGCTATCTACACTAGGAGTTTGGCCAGTATAAATGCCATACTGAGTGACATTGTTAAAGTGACATGCATTTTAAGTGTAGAGCAGGGCTCAGGCTCTAATGGCCATCTAGTGTCTGAGTTGGTGAGAGGAGATGGAGTGGGGGCACAAGGAGCTTTCCTCTGTTCAAGAGTTTGTGACAACTACAACTGCAGTCTCTGTACATGGGGGAGCTGAAGGAATGCTCCCTTCAAACACCCTGTAGCGCCCCAGAGGGAACAGGGAGGGGTAGGAGGAGTCAACTCCAGGCACTTTCCCAAAGAGTATCTCATCACAGCACAACCTCCCTGGGGCCGTGTGGCCCTGCAAAGCTCCACCACAGGCAGTGCCTGATAAGCACAGTTAGTTCTAGATATCTAAATATCACTCTGTGGGGGAAAACAAAGAGCAAGAAAAGCCACCACTTCTCTCTGTCTCACTAGACCAACAATAGAAGTTACGCATATCTCTTTGCTGCTGTAACTAACCAGCAAACACTATTTCCAGCATTGGGCCCTTCATGCTCCTGGGATAGCATCCAAGGACTAGACGAAAGGCTACAGTAAAAGGCATACAGAAGTAGGAATACTCCATAAAACAATGTTTTCCAAATGAACTAGAAAAAACTAAACATGAAGCTCAAGGTTAGTTTCTCAGTCAATGTAAAGAGGCATAGCTCCAATGATATCAAATGTACATCAGTTCAGGACCTCATTTACTGATAAGCTTCTAAGAGACCATAAAAAACAATGAAAATTAAAACAAATGTTAAAAACTTATTTTAAAAGGTAGTTAACCAAATCCTTTAGCTTAAATACAAACATTAAGGCAGTGACTTACTTATAGCCTTTCAAAGCCATTGTCCAGATGATGATTAAGCAAATGACAGATGATAATACAGCCACAAAGATCCAGACAATCACATCCTTCAAAGAGACCATAAAAAACAATGAAAATTAAAACAAATGTTAAAAACTTATTTTAAAAGGTAGTTAACCAAATCCTTTAGCTTAAATACAAACATTAAGGCAGTGACTTACTTATAGCCTTTCAAAGCCATTGTCCAGATGATGATTAAGCAAATGACAGATGATAATACAGCCACAAAGATCCAGACAATCACATCCTTCAATTC